TCTACGCGAGTGCTCGAGTTCCGAGTTCGAATGTCGCTTACTCCTGAATTATTATTCACTAATCAGCAGCAACAGCTTAAACGTTAAATGAACGGAGGGATTAACTAGCATTTGCTTCTTCATTCCTAGCAGCCTCTAGAGTTTGAATTCTGCAACCAGAATTGCCTCTCTTTTCTCCAGCCATCATAGCTGGATGGAATAAGCCAATATAACTGGTTTACACATTGCATTAACCAAATGTAGTTTGCTTGCTGTACCGTCCTTTCCAGCTGTAGTTCCATTTTTTTTTTAATCAATGACTTGGATGGCCATTGGAATACTTACCAAATCTGCAAATTAAATGAAAACGGATGAGAGATCTAACCGTAGAAGTTAGAAATAACATTAAAAGCAATCTTGGCATGTTAGAGAAATGAGCTGAAAGTACCAGAACAAAACAAATCAAGAAAGAAATCTAAAGCTGTTTATTTAGGAAGCAAAAATCAAATGCACAGATATAAAATGGGTTTTTTTTAATATAGTAAAGAAGTTACCATTTGATCCTAGAATAAAAAGGTTGGAGAAGGCTTGGAGATCTTCTACTCCAGTGTTTCTTACACTTTTTGCTCTCCGGACCCCTTCCCACTTTTAAAAATTATGGAGAACCTCAAAAGAGCTTTTGTTTGTACCGGTTATATTTATCAGTATTTACCATATTAAAAATTACAATGGATGCATTTGTAGAATATTTATTGAATCGTGTAAAAATAGCAACGTTAAACCCATTGGATATTAGCATAAATTATTTTTCATGAACAAAACGTATATTTTTTAACAAGAAATAATGCGAGGGGTGTTTTAAACTGTTGCAAGCATCTTCAATATCTGGTGAATAATCTTGATTTAGCGTACCCCTGGGAGGGTCTCGTGGGACCCCCTGGGGTCCTCAGACCACACTTTAAGAAACGCTGCTCTAGTCCAACTCCAGAATTCCCAGACAGGAATTCAAAAATACAGCATCCCTTGGAGTTATTTTAATGGGATATGGGTTTTATATCATGGAGTCCTTGGGGCTCCTGAGCTTGGTAGTTTTCTTGCAGACATTTCACTACCCCACTAGGTAACATGACCAGTGCACATGAGGGTGGGGTTTGCTCCATTTATATTCAGTAGCTTGCCCTGCCAGTATTGATTAGGGGTTATTGATTAGGGAACTACCAAGAAGAAAATCACACCCCCACCAACACTACTGTATATAAACATTGTCCTGTAAGGTGTTGCTATTCTTAGGAGTAACGTTGGATTACAAACTATGAGTTAGAGTGGGTGGGGGGGAAAAAAAGTAGTTTTAGGCTGCGTTAACAGAAGTACAATTTCCAAATCAACAGGAATTATCAGCCCCGTTTTGTTCTGCTTTGGTCAGACTCTGCTGCATTATCTCCACTTCTGAGCACTATATTTTAAGAACCACCATTTGGAGAAATTGGGACAGGCTGAGAAAAGGGGAAGGAAATGATCAGGGCCTAGAAACCAGGACCCAGGAACAGCGATTAAAGGAAGTAGGAATGTTTAGCCTTGAGAAGATGGAGGAGAAAGATGCTAACATTCTTCAAATACCTGAGAGGGTATCAAACTGGAACAAGACCTGCAATGTCTGTTTCTTCATTTGGCCTACCTCAAAGGCTTGATATCAATCTTGGAAACCTTTTATTTTATTGCTCTTCAGTGTATCACATTGTTTTTTAATGCTGTCGTAATGTTTGAGATGTTTTTACGCTGCCTCTCTTCTATTTCGACGTTTTCTGAATTGAGCATTATCGGTTTCAGGTTGTGTTAGTGTTAGCCTACAGCATCTTCGAGTGATACATGCCTTCATTTAAGCTAAGCCATTCTATTGTAGAAAGGGTTCCTGCTATTTTTTCCCCCAAGTTTATTATAGTAACAATTGTGTTCTGATAAATTTGGAAAGTGAAATAATTTTCTCTTTTTAGTGCTGGAAACTCAGGTCTAGCTTCTGTGCGGAACTGATTCCAGCTATGATTTAGGATTGCCGCAAGATAATTCCATTGATTCCATGTCACATAGAAAGCTCCTTTTCACAATCCTGCATCCAGAGATAATTGTCACACAATTTGCCTTGCTATCTAGGTGGAAATACATTTACACTCCTGATATTTAGCAGTGGCTTCAAGTATTGAGCTTGGAAATGTCCTCTTATTATAAAAATGAGATGAGCAATATGTGTCTATATTATCTAGATTTAATATCAAAAGATAAGATGGAGTGGCTGTGGATTGGGGGCTCCTCTGTATCCAGGAGCTTACCACCTTTGGTTCTGGAGGGGATGGCATTGTCCCTGACAGACCTGGTGCTCAGTTTGGGGGTCCTCCTGGACTCACGACTCCTACTTGAGGAGCAGGTGGCAGTCATGGTCAGGAGGGCCTTTGCTCAACTACATGTTGTGAGCCAGTTACACCCTTTCCTGGATCAGAAGGCCCTCCAGTCAGTCACTCACGCCCTAGTCATCTCCCGTATAGACTACTGCAATGCGCTTTACATGGGGCTACCCTTGAAGAGTATCCAGAAACTACAGCTGGTGCAAAATGCAGTCATGCAGGCAATTCTGGGTGCCCCAAGGATGGCACATGCAACACCTTTGCTGCGGGAGCTGCACTGGGCACCAGTTTGCTTCCGGGTCCAATTCAAGGTGTTGGTTATCACCTTTAAAGCCCTACATGGCATGGGGCCAGGCTACCTGAGGGACCGTCTCATCCCCATTACATCGACCCAGCCCACCCGGTCAGGCAGAGAAGGCATGTTGCAGACCCTGTCCACGAAAGAATGTTGACTGGCGGTGCCCAGGAGGAGAGTCTTCTCTGCCATTGCCCCTGCCCTATGGAACACTCTCCCCCCAGAGGTGAGGCGGGCCCCCACTCTCCCGGCCTTCTGGAAAGAGATGAAGACCTGGCTCTGCCAAGTCACGTGGGGTGAGAAGGGTATAACCAACCCTGGGGCTGACTGGTGCTTTGAAGACGCTCCCTGAGTCTAATAGCTTCTAGTTAACCTCAGTTCCTTGGAAGCTATTTATTTTTATATAGGAATCTTCTTGTATTTTAATGTACTGTATTTTAATGAATATTTATTCTATTTTAATGAATATTTATTCTTTTTACTGCAAACCGCCCAAAGTCGCTCTGCAGTGAGATGGGCAGTGACAAATTTGAAAAATAAAGAGACAGACAGACAGACTTTTTCCTCTTCTTCTCCAGCCACAGTCTCCAGGCAAGGTCTGATGCTTTTAGGGATAACTAGAGCTTTTTGGCTGAAAGGTGAGATTCAAAACAATACTGATTTAGATGGAACAATAGTATTCAATGGTAAACAGTATTGGAAGGAAGGAAGGAAGGAAGGAAGGAAGGAAG